ATTTATTAAATAAATCTTTTTGATGTTCAAACATAGTTGAGTAAATTGTGTACTTAGGTTCAAGTGTCTTTGTGCATATTAGTTTACTTCAGCTAACAAATATTTAAATCATTTGATGGGGGCTTTTTTAGCAATGCCAGGAGAGGAGACCAGTCGCAGGGGTTAACTGAGCACCTGGATTATATCACAGTGGGTGTATCCAGATATCTATCTATCCCTTCTCCTACTCCTGTGGATACAAGTACAGCAACTTTCATTTCATGGAACGAGCCACTCGCTCTTTTCTTGGCTATCCAGGACTGTCTAGGATCAACATAGCTTAGATAATAGTCCAGTTTCTCACGTGGGTGGGCATTGTTAAGGATCAAACCCACACCCTCACTATATCAGTGTATTTACCCACGTGGGCGCACGACATCCAACAATGATTAAAGATCTGTAGCAGCTTTATTTTGGCAGTTGTTCCAAGGTTCTTGATCATTTCGTTGGTGATTCCATCAGTTCCAGGTGATTTTTCCATTCTCAGCTTTGATATTGCTAACTCTAACTCGCTGGATGTAAATGCTGCCACCAGTGCCTCAGGAATTATATCATTTTGTCTTGTATGCTGTTTGTTTTCTTGAACCTCTCGCTTTTTCTCTGGGCTGACATTAATGTTGCTGTCTTCTGCAAAATGGTCAGCTGCCTGTTTCCTTGTTAGGATGGCTCCCTCTTTGCATAGTGCAATATTACCATTTCGTCCTGTATTCTCATAATTAATTTGCTTAATTAACCTTCACAACTCCCTTGTGTCTCTTTCAAAGTTTAGAGACTTTGCCTTTTCTTGCCAGCTTGTCCGTCTAGCCTGCTGTTTGGCTCTTTGAAATTTGGCCTTTGAATGTTGGTAGTTGTTAAACTGCTCTTGACAAGGTCTGGTCTCAGCTTGTTTTCATTCTGTTTCCATATTGTTGTGCAGTTGCTCCAGATCGCAATTCCAGTACGGTTTGTATTATTTACGCGCACCTCTTGGAACTGCTTCTAGGGCTGCCTGCAGTATGCGTTTGCTCAGCTCTTGGACTACTTTTTCTACGTCGTTATCTGTGTTCAGATTTTCCAGCAGAACATTCGTGCGGAGCTGATACAACTTCCAGTCTGCCTTCTTAAAATTCCACCCTGGCAGTGTGCTGCTCTCTCTTACAGACTGGCTTTCTATAGTTAGAAAGACTGGCCGGTGGTCAATGCATCCTAGCTGCTTCCCAACAGTTCTGGTAACATTCAGTTCCATGTCTGCTGAGTGAAAGGCTAGGTCTGGTGTCGAGGTGGTATGCCATGCTCTAGAGTAGAAGGTTGGTGGGTCGGTTGGCTTATTAACGAGGATGAACCTATTCTCATCTTGCCAGTCCTCTAGTTTCTCTCCTCTCTGATCCATATGATCGTAGCCCCAACTTTGGGAATGGCTATTAAAATCCCCACAAATGATCATTTTTTCATTTATTAGTACTGTATCCAGTGCCTGAGGGCGGTCGCTCGGACAGTAATAGTTGGTCAGTTGTAAATCTGTATTTTCTAACTTGAGCTTAGTTTGATACTCAGCACCTTCCATGTATGTTTCGATCCGGCCCGCAAGGATGTTATTTTTGACCAGGGTAAGAATTCCACCTTTTCTCGTGTCTTTGCGGTCAGATCGGAAACACTGGTAGCCTCTGACCTTGAAGGAGATATCTTGTTTGAGATACGTCTCTTGAAGGCAGCATACATGTATATTCTCTTCGTTCAAGACGTTTTCTAATTCTAATTTCTTTGTATTTACTCCCTCCGCCTTCCAGTGCATTATTTTAAGACTTGCTGTATTTTCTGCTTTTCTGGTTCTACGGGGCATTAGGGGGAGGCTTCGAGTATTTGAAGCTGGACTCTTTCTTCTTGTCGCAGGCCGGTAAATCGAGCCACGTGTACGTGAGTGGGTCACATGGTGAAAATCATACTCATTTGCCGATATAGAAATATTCCCTGTTACGTTTGTGCGTGGCATCCTGATTGCTGTGGTGCGCCTCCTGGCTGGTTGCCTCCGACTTCAGCACCTTGTTTTGCTAGAGTAGACTGGGGTCTTACCCGTGGACTCCCATGTTTATAATGGGAGCGTGGCTCCTACGCGGTTGCATTATCAGAATTAGGACACGGCCGCCGCCGTGGCTATTTTGTGGAAATAATTCCGTTATAACACCCCTAAAGCACAGAATACTTGTATCCACGAACAAGAGAATATCCATCGTCAATGAATTAGTAATAATCGCACTCTGTTATCAAGAGAAAAACATCGATTAAGTGAAAATTTTAGAATAAAATCGTGTGTCGCCGCAAACACGTCTTCACGCTGCCATTTCTAAACCGGAAGTCTTTACTTCAACTGTAGACCAAACTCAAGTAGTTAAACTTAATACACAACAACAGAACACACAAAGAAACTTGAACGAGTAAGAACACGGCACACCCTGCTGGACACAGTTCTGAAATCCATTTGCTCTAGTGCAGCTGGTCACGTGAGTTCTGCCACCTCAATGTGAAGTGTTGTATTATTTGTACCAGACTTTGTTAATGCCAGAACGCTGTTTGATATTTATACAAACAAATGATGAACAGTTATACAGCTGGCTATATCTTGCTGCCCTGTATGGTGCAACATGCATTATATATGACCATGTCTGTAGATTTAAGAGTTTTGGAGAAAGATCTGGCTTAAAAATATGGGTGAGATAGATTTGGCTGAATAAATATGGGTGAAACAGATTTGGCTGAGCAAATATGGTTGAACTAGATTTCTCTGAAGAAATATGGGTGAAATAGATTTGCCTGAACAAATATGGGTGAGATAGATTTGCCTGAACAAATATGGATGAGATAGATTTGCCTCAACAAATATGGATGAGATAGATTTGCCTGAACAAATATGGGCCTAATTATATTTACCCAATACAGCATATGCCATGAACAAGAGAATCATTACTTGTGGTCAGCGTCAAGTCGCCTGAGAGACGAAGGCTGCCTGTGTAGCTGCTTCACAAAAGCTAGCCTATGTTGTCTACGTAGTACCAGAGACAGACAAAACCACTGACACATCAGGGCTCAAACTGCAGACATGCCAGACTGGCACTGTAGGCCTCGAATGCATCAACCCATCTGTGTACAGACATGTTAGTGCACACACAGCCCAGCCTTGTACTCACCTATGGTCCCGGGCAGTCCCATGTTTCCCTGGAGTAGACAAACAAGTTATCTCTGTATGAGACTGATTGTGTAGACAAACAAGTTATCTCTGTATGAGGCTGATTGTGTAGACAAACAAATTATCTCTGTATGAGGCTGATTGTGTAGACAAACAAGTTATCTCTGTATGAGGCGGATTGTGTAAACAAACAAGTTATCTCTGTATGAGGCTGATTGTGTAGACAAACAAGTTATCTCTGTATGAGGCTGATTGTGTAGACAAACAGGTTATCCCTGTATGAGGCTGATTGTGTAGGCAAACAAGTTATCTCTGTATGAGGCTGATTGTGTAGACAATCTCTGTATGAAGCTGATTGTGTAGACAAACAAGTTATCTCTGTATGAGGCTGATTGTGTAGGCAAACAAGTTATCTCTGTATGAGGCTGATTGTGTAGGCAAACAAGTTATCTCTGTATGAGTCTGATTGTGTAGACAAACAAGTTATCTCTGTATGAGTCTGATTGTGTAGACAAACAAGTTATCTCTGTATGAGTCTGATTGTGTAGACAAACAAGTTATCTCTGTATGAGTCTGATTGTGTAGACAAACAAGTTATCTCTGTATGAAGCTGATTGTGTAGACAAACAAGTTATCTCTGTATGAAGCTGATTGTGTAGACAAACAAGTTATCTCTGTATGAAGCTGATTGTGTAGACAAACAAGTTATCTCTGTATGAAGCTGATTGTGTAGGCAAACAAGTTATCTCTGTATGAGTCTGATTGTGTAGACAAACAAGTCATCTCTGTATGAGTCTGATTGTGTAGACAAACAAGTTATCTCTGTATGAAGCTGATTGTGTAGACAAACAAGTTATCTCTGTATGAGTCTGATTGTGTAGACAAACAAGTTATCTCTGTATGAAGCTGATTGTGTAGGCAAACAAGTTATCTCTGTATGAGTCTGATTGTGTAGACAAACAAGTTATCTCTGTATGAGTCTGATTGTGTAGACAAACAAGTTATCTCTGTATGAAGCTGATTGTGTAGACAAACAAGTTATCTCTGTATGAAGCTGATTGTGTAGACAAACAAGTTATCTCTGTATGAAGCTGATTGTGTAGACAAACAAGTTATCTCTGTATGAAGCTGATTGTGTAGACAAACAAGTTATCTCTGTATGAGTCTGATTGTGTAGACAAACAAGTTATCTCTGTATGAAGCTGATTGTGTAGACAAACAAGTTATCTCTGTATGAAGCTGATTGTGTAGACAATCTCTGTATAAAGCTGATTGTGTAGACAATCTCTGTATGAAGCTGATTGTGTAGACAATCTCTGTATAAAGCTGATTGTGTAGACAAACGAGTTATCTCTGTGTGAGTCTGTGTAGACAAACGAGTTATCTCTGTGTGAGTCTGTGTAGACAAACGAGTTATCTCTGTGTGAGTCTGTGTAGACAAACAAGTTTTCTCTGTGTGAGTCTGTGTAGACAAACAAGTTTTCTCTGTATGAGTCTGATTGTGTAGACAAACAAGTTATCTCTGTGTGAGTCTGTGTAGACAAACGAGTTATCTCTGTGTGAGTCTGTGTAGACAAACGAGTTATCTCTGTATGAAGCTGATTGTGAAGACAATCTCTGTATGAGGCTAACTGTGTAGACATCAAATTTTATAAACAAGCTGACTGTAACCCACATTTAACACAATTTTAACATACAATAGTTTGTTGCTGTGCTATTTTACTGTCAGTAGTTGGTGCCATATTAATGTCAGTTGTTGCCATGTCACTGACTTTGCCTACTAAACAGTCGATGCTTCATACCAGTGTTGAAATCGATGCAAAGTTGTCTATTGCCAAAGTGCCTGCAGCTGGAATCAAAATTACGAACTACGTTTGCAATGACTCAGTCACATATTCTATTTCAAACGATATAACAATTAGTTGTAAAATAGCTAGCTATAACAGAAATTTGCCGGAGGGTACTGTAACAGCTGATTCCATCTGGCTGAGACTGCAGAAAACAAAATGAAACATGACTGTGTGCACACCTGAGATCAGACACCACCCACTGGCTGAGTCGAGATTTCTTTGCCTCTTCCAGTTTATACAGCCCCTTCATGTAGTTGCTGAAGTCACATGACTGAGACCAGGTCTCATTCAAGACAATACCCAATAGCATTTTAAATCTAACTGTCCAAGGATGACCTCAAGTCTGACTAACTGTCCAGGCCTGACCCACCCACCCACCTTTTCCCCAATAGTCTGACTAACTGTCAAAACTTGACCCACAATATTGCTAACTGTCCAGGTTTGACACTTCACAACAGCACAGGTCTGGTTATCAGTGTGATAGACGCAGGCCTCTTTCAGAGCTGAGACAACCTGACTGTCAAGACATCAGACTTGAGAGTTGGTCCTCATATAGACGCAGGCCTCTTTCAGAGCTGAGACAACCTGACTGTCTAGACATCAGACTTGAGAGTTGGTCCTCATATAGACGCTGACTTATTTCAGAGCTGAGACAACCTGACTGTCAAGACATCAGACTGGAGAGTTGGTCCTCACAGTCTTCCAGAGGCCTGCACATCACCAACCAATCAATAGTTGTATTCATTAGAGAAATGTGACCCTATTTTAAAGGATGGATCCTGGAGGATGACCAGCTGGAAGCTATCAGTGAATCAATCAATCAAGTGCCATCTCCACAACAAAGGTTAGTTAAATGGACACATCTCCAGCTGTCTTTGACAGCAAACACAAGTGATCACTGCTGACTCACGTACCTGCCCAACATCAATGTCTGCCAGCACGGGTGACCGACCCAGTCGAACTGCATAGTTGACCAAGATCCGACAAAGAGTAGACTTCCCCACATCTGTAGGGCCCACAACAAGTATCTGCAACAGGTCAAATCATAAGCTAAAAAAAAACAGCAGTTACAAATCAGATCACATTCTTCAAACATCTGCAACAGGTCAAATCACAAGCTTCAAACATCTGCAACAGGTCAAATCACAAGCTTCAAACATCTGCAACAAGTCAAATCATATGCTTCAAACATCTGCAACAAGTCAAATCATATGCTTCAAACATCTGCAACAAGTCAAATCATATGCTTCAAACATCTGCAACAAGTCAGATCATATGCTTCAAACATCTGCAACAAGTCAAATCATATGCTTCAAACATCTGCAACAAGTCAAACCATATGCTTCAAACATCTGCAACAAGTCAGATCACAAGCTTCAAACATCTGCAACAAGTCAGATCACAAGCTTCAAACATCTGCAACAGGTCAGATCACAAGCTTCAAACATCTGCAACAAGTCAGATCACAAGCTTCAAACATCTGCAACAAGTCAGATCACATGCTTCAAACATCTGCAACAGGTCAAACCATATGCTTCAAACATCTGCAACAAGTCAGATCACAAGCTTCAAACATCTGCAACAAGTCAGATCACAAGCTTCAAACATCTGCAACAAGTCAGATCACAAGCTTCAAACATCTGCAACAAGTCAAATGACAAGCTTTAAACATCTTCATTTGACACTGTGTTCCTCAAGTAAATACTACAACTCATGACAGAAATCAGCAGCAGTGAAACAATCATCACCAGGTAGATAACCAAACAGCCTGCAGGATGAGGTACAGTCAGTCAAGTTGCAGACAACTGGGCTCAGCAAGTGAACTGTGCAGCTGATTCTGATGTCCTCAAATGTTCAACTCTGACGGATGTCATCATAGGTTCAGCCCCATGTGATGTGTGTACATTTTGAACTCTGCGTGTAAAGGTTAAACTCTGTGCGTACAAGTTGAATGATTTGTGTATAAGTTAAACCATATGTGATGCATGTACTTGTGAGTGTGATATGTGTATATGTTAAACTTCATGTGCACATGTTAAACCTGATTAACATGTGTATATGTTAAACCCCATGTGATATACGTACACATTAAATGCTGTGTACATTGTAATGGGGGATATTTTCACCCAGATTAGGATGGTTGGGGGGGAAGGCCCAAAGCTGACCTAAAACACTGAGATAGTCCAGATACTTGGATTAAACGAGAATCTGGAGATAGGTGACTAACCACTGGTTATCACGGGGACCACGATGAGGCGACCCAAGGTCGCCACTTGAAAAGTATAGGACCACCACGTGTTGTCACGTGAAACGAACCCATGGTATAAGTCAGACTTGACTCTGGTAAAGTTTAGTTTGTGTCGACCTGTTGGAGTGAGAGGACGTACGACTGAAAGTGAGAATGTCAACGTGAGAGTGATTGTGAAGAAAGGAGACCCTGCTGACGAAGTGTGAAGCCGAAATCGACCATGCCAGTGTGTGAGATGGCCAGAACCTCAACGTGAATCCATGGGAGCCAACTTTGGTCAGTGAATGCTTGAAGAAGACTGTTCGTTGAAGGCTGCATGAGTTTGGGTACGAGAGCTGTTCACTAGGACACCGACAGGACATTCTTGTTTGTAAGTGTAAATACGTCAATAAATTCATGTCTCGTAAGCTCACATCGGTGTCGGCTTGTGCCAGTTGTGTAACATGGAGCCTGTGAGAAGATATCCACCACACACGCATGAACACTACCTAGACAACGAGAAGAAACACACCACTTATTACAATTGGAGGCTTGAAAAACGGAGATAACCGGGCAAAAAACAGAACAGCAACGGCGAGATGATGTCATGGGCTGTTACTTGCCACGCAGACGCTGAATGCCGTTAGAAGTCCGAGGCAGAAAATACTCCTGCTGAACGACTGATATGTAGGAGATGAAGTCTGCCTGAGAGAGCACAGATTGTGAAGTCACCAAGTAAAAACATCAGTTGCACAGTGAAAGCCGAATGTTTTGAGGAGTTTGGACAACAGAGCAACGGAAAAGTGATCCCGGAAACTATCACGTACATGCAGATGAGATCCCATTGAAAGTCTAAACGGAAAAATCGTGATAGACGGCCATGTAAGAGACGATATCTGGTGAAACGCATAGTTGCTAGAATCACCGAACAGTTGCGACAAAAATTTTACCCGTAACACGCCTGATGCTGGGTTATGTCATCACGTGGGTGAAAGGTTAAAGGACACGTAAACTGCCCTGGGTTACGTGGCATTTTGCGTCGTTCTTCAAAATCATCAAGAAGCCTACGAGAAAGAGAACAAATGGTTGTATAACATTTGGGGCAAAGAAATTGTCCACTACGTGTCGACAGTAACAGCGCGATACAACACAACGAAACCAAAAGTCACGAAGAAATAATAAGGCGAACAGAAGATCTCACGATCAAGGAGTCAACTGAAACTTCCGGGTCACGACATTGAGACAGCATGGATTGAAAATATCTGTCAACAGCGCTGAAAAATTGGCCGTCAACTAGCCAGTATTGGTGAAAGCTAGCAGAAATATTCAAGTCTGCTACAACTGGTGAACTGGGTCATCGCTAACACAGCAAATTTGGGTCAGTGTGTGCACACGGAACTGCAGGCCAACAGTGTGAGATCGTGAACTTGGACAAAACAAGGTAAAGTACTTTGAAATGATTTAAAGATTGATTTAATTCAAGAGAACAGTGTTTAGGTTATATATTCAGGACATATCGAAAGTATTTGGAATTCTTAGGATTTTGTGATAATAAGCAGCAAGAAATATAACTATTATCGTGTGCCGTGCCGGAAAAAGTAACTTAAGCCGATATAATATTTACAGTGCTTTCATCAAGTGACGAATTTTCAAGTGTGTTTAGACTATTGCAAGATTAATACAGTGTTTCAAGTGACCGATTTTCAAGTGTGCGTACACATTAGCTTTATTAATACACCGTTTCGGATCTACTTTAGAACAGACATCAATAGAACTAGAAGTATTTAATAATTGAATTTATTTATAGTGATAGTTATTATGTGCGTACTTAATTGAAGTTATTTAATTATATTGCAAGAATTTATTATTGTGATATTGATTTTTCAGGTATTTTATTTATTTGGTAATAACTATTACGTTGTGATTATATTATTTTACACTATATAATCTTTTTTGATATTGATTTCTGAATTATTTATACTTTATAGCAAAATTTATTAGATTGTAATTATATTATTGTGGACGATATAATTTTTTATTTTATTTATTTCTGGATGTAATTTTTGGCAATTTATATCAGTCATAAAATTATTGAATCATTATTTATTTACTTCTGTAAATTTTTGGGGGGCAAATATACCATTTCTATTCGAGTTATCATCATCATCATTATTTATTTCTGAAATTTGTTGACAAATTGTGTATGATTATTGGTATCATAATTATTGAGAGTTTATATAGGACCAGTGTTATGTGCTTTCAGCATAGATATATTTTGTTAGAATCTTTAGTAGATAGGGTCTTATAATTATTTATTATATTTATTTAATTTATAGATAATTAATTAATTCATAGGTAATTATTTAATTAAAATTATTTAGTACTAGTATTTAATTAATTCATAGGTAACTATTTAATTACAATTATTTAGTATATTTTTTTAATTAAATTAAAGGTGAAATAATTAAATAGAGATTTATAAAATTAATGATTTTATTATTACATTAGTTATAGTTTACTTAGAAAATTTAATTATTATTTATTTATTATTGTGAATTATTTACTTGAATAATTCTAGGGTGATTTATTGATTGAGCTATCATTACAGTAGTCCTAGTGTGAATATCTTGTAGTGACAGCGGTTTCCAATCTACAGTTACAGCTACATCTAAGCAAGGGTAGTGCAAGTTGATTAAAAAAGGAGGGTAATTACTTAGTTTAGAAATAAAATTAGATTTCGTTACGTAATATTAGAATAACATTAGCTAATCCCTAAGTCGGTAGTTAACGACTTAGTTTCTTATTTGTTTATTTGAATTTGTATATTCAATTGTCACTGTGTCATCATTGTTAAGTGTGACAGGAATAGTTGTAGAACAAAAGGAGTAGCTGAAAATCTTGATCATCCTATTCAAGAATGTCGGGAATGGCAGAACTGGTTGCGATCGGGAAGGAGTTAGGCTTACAGGGCAAGGAGCTAAAGAAATTTGTGGACCAAAAGTATAAAGAAATGAAGGCAGAAGAGACAGCAGCAGAGATAGAGAAGGAGAAGATAAGAGCTGAACAAGAGAAAGAGAAGGAGAGGATAAAGGCAATGTGTTCACATGTTAAATAATATGTGAGGTGTGTACAGGTTAAACCACATGTGAGGTGTGTACAGGCTAAACCCTGTGTGATGTGTGTACAGGCTAAACCCTGTGTGATGTTTGTACAGGTTAAACCCTGTGTGATGTGTGTACAGGCTAAACCCTGTGTGATGTGTGTACAGGCTAAACCCTGTGTGATGTGTGCACAGGTTAAAGCCTGAGTGATGTCCATATTGTTAAACCCTGTGAGATGTGCATACATGTTAAACCATGTGTGTACATGCTAAACCCTGTGTGATGTGTGTACATGTTAAACCAAGACCGGCTCCAGCTGAGGACATCACAAAACCGGGCTAACAATATGTTAACGCAACGTTTATTAAACTTTTTTGACGGGCAAAAACAGTTTTGGCACATTTACGCTTAAAGTGGTTTGAATACTTGAGAAAAGTAAAAAAAAAAACAGTGCAAATCTGACATCAAGAAGGTTTGGAAAAATTCTTGATTTGTGATAACCCCCTGAGTGCCGCGGCACCCAGTTTCAGAACAGCTGCGTTAGATGTCAAAGCCTCGTGTAAAATGTGGCCCGTCAGCTGGAGCGTTTTGGAAAACCCTATGTGATGCATGTAAAACTCATGTGTGTACATGTTAAACCATATGTGATGCATGTAAACTCAGTGTGTATACATTAAACCCTGTGTGGTGCACATACATGTTAATTAAACCCTGAGTGGTGCTCATACATGTTAAACCCTGTGTGATGTGTGTACATGTTAAAACCTGTGTGATGTATGTACATGTTAAACCCAATTATGATGCGTGTACATGTTTAACCCTGTATGTACATATGACTGAAACCAGGATACACATGCCATTTGAAGAGTCTCAGCTACACGAGAGCTGCAGACACCTACAGGAGAGCTGCAGACACCAACAGGAGAGCTGCAGACACCTACAGGAGAGCTGCAGACACCTACAGGAGAGCTGCAGACACCTACAGGAGAGCTGCAGACACCTACAGGAGAGCTAAAGACACCTACAGGAGAGCTAAAGACACCTACCCGAGGTCCCCTTGTGTTCTCAGCTTCCGCCTTCTGTCTCATCTGTTCTAAGGCAGCGTGTGTGTTGACATAAACCACCATGGGTGTCTCCTTGGAGATGTAGGCTACTTCAGCCTTACCTTTGAGCTGAGGACACAACAACAGCATCTATCAGCTGTGGACACAACAATACACATAAGCTGTGGACACACAACACTAACATAGATATCTATGACAGATCATAACAGCTAAAGGGTACCTAGACAACAGTTAGAATATATCCATGCTTGTTTCAATTCTGTCACTCCCAGAATGTTGGTGAAGCTGAAGCCAGTGAGAGATAAAGCCCAGTTAGAGCTGAACCCAGTGAGAGATAAAGCCCAGCTGTATAAGGCTAATGTGATTCTGGAGCCAGATTGATCATAGATAATGACCCTGTCTCTTGCAAAGATTGAACCGGCACTGCTGGCGAGGTAAGCTAGAACACCTACCTGAAGCTAGGGTTACCTCATTTACTATGAGATTGTACCCACAATTGTAATCTATCACCTCACCCATGAAAAGCAGTAATCTGTTAGACAACTGCTTACTGCCTTCTTCTGGGTCACATAAACCAGTAACATGTTGAATTCCACTCTGCCAGGTCATAGAAACCAGCAACACGTTGAATTCCACTCTGCCAGGTCATAGAAACCAGCAACACGTTGAATTCCACTCTGCCAGGTCATAGAAACCAGTAACATGTTGAATTCCACTCTGCCAAGTCACAGATACCCCACAGTGTTAATTCCACTCTGCCAAGTCACAGATACCTCACAGTGTTAATTCCACTCTGCCAGGTCACAGATACCTCACAGTGTTAATTCCACTATGCCAGGTCACATATACCTCACAGTGTTAATTCCACTATGCCAGGTCACAGATACCTCACAGTGTTAATTCCACTCTGCCAGGTTACAGATACCTCACAGTGTTAATTCCACTCTGCCAGGTCACAGATACCCCACAGTGTTAATTCCACTCTGCCAGGTTACAGATTCCTCACAGTGTTAATTCCGCTCTACCAGGTTACAGATACCTCACAGTGTTAATTCCACTCTGCCAGGTCACAGATACCTCACAGTGTTAATTCCACTCTGCCAGGTCACAGATACTTCACAGTGTTAATTCCATTCTGCCAGGTCACAGATACTCAACAGTGTTAATTCCACTCTGCCAGATCACAGATACTCAACAGTGTTAATTCCACTCTGCCATGTCACATATACTTCACAGTGTTAATTCCATTCTGCCAGGTCACAGATACTCAACAGTGTTAATTCCACTCTGCCAGATCACAGATACTCAACAGTGTTAATTCCACTCTGCCAGATCACAGATACTCAACAGTGTTAATTCCACTCTGCCAGGTCACATATACCTCACAATGTTAATTCCATTCTGCCAGGTCACATATACCTCACAGTGTTAATTCCATTCTGCCAGGTCACATATACTCCAAAGTGTTAATTCCACTCTGCCAGATCACAGATACTCAACAGTGTTAATTCCACTCTGCCAGGTCACAGATACCTCACAATGTGAATTACTTTCTCACTGATCACAGACTCCTTACACTGTGAATTACTTTCTCACTGATCACAGACACCTTACACTGTGAATTACTTTCTTCCAGGTTACAGACACCAGTCAAGCTAGTGTACCATGTAATATTTTGTAGGTGAATGTAATACCTCAGCAGTACAGGAACTGACACTGCTACAATAACTGAATGTTATACAGTCATAGTCAATTAATGTGATACTATCACAGTAAATGAACATTATGATACTATCACAATTTACACTACACAGACTGTAAACCTTACCACTATGGTACACCCATGCCAGGTGTATATTGCAACCTTTGACCCGGACACAAATATATATTTCTTATTCTTTGCCAACTCAGTGCCGAACATCTCCCCACGACCCTCTGTCATCTGAAAATGTGCACAAACACACCAATAAACAGCAGCACAAAATAAAACAAAAAAATTTCAATCTAAAAGATTAATATTGGATAAAATCAAACAAGTTGACGTCACTTTATAACATCATAAAAGGAGACCAGCAAAGGCAGCAGATAAATATAGCAAACAAGCAAGCAGAGAGAGAGAGAGAGAGAGAGAGAGAGAGAGATATATAGAGAGAGAGAGAGAACAAATGAACAAGTTTTATTCTGAAAGGGTCACAATTTGGGCATGCAGACCCGTCTGACACACCAATATGCATAACATCAATATCAAGGAAAAATTACAAATGCATGGATGGTAAATGCATGGTGATGAGGACAGATACAAGAGAACACACAGCTGTCAGGTGAGCAAGCAAGTGAAGTCGCAGACTTACTTCTAGCTCCACGCTAGCCTTGGCCTCCACCTCAAACCTCAGCTCTGCATGGGCCTGCAGCTTGAACTCCTGTCCCTGAAAATGGAAATCTACAGATTAGTGTAGGCAGGCGTGCTTAACCTGGTTCATGCAAGTGTAGGCAGGCGTGCTTAACCTGGTTCAACTGTGTTGTATGAAAGGGACAACCAGGAAGGGAATAGGAACAAAAGAGAACATAATTTTAGACATTAAGAGCTGAGTGTCTGAGAAGTATATTAGATACACGCAGCAGTATCAAGGGTCCTGGCACCCAGCACTCACTGTGGGAGACAACTTCACAGACCCAGCACTCACTGTGTGAGACAACTTCACAGACCCAGCACTCACTGTGGGAGACAACTTCACAGACCAGGTCCTGCTGTTAGTCACTGACCGTGGGCTGTGATTATCACGCCTCTCTCAAGCATAACATTATCTATCATCTGGAAAGATAGAAAGGTGCCCAGCACTAGACAACATTATCTATCATCTGGAAAGATAGAAAGGTGCCGGCCGAGCACTAGATAACATTATCTATCATCTGGAAAGATAGAAAGCTGCCCAGCACTAGATAACATTATCTATCAACTGGAAAGACAGAAAGGTGCCGGCCGAGCACTAGATAACATTATCTATCATCTGGAAAGACAGAAAGGTGCCGGCCGAGCACTAGATAACATTATCTATCATCTGGAAAGACAGAAAGCTGCCCAGCACTAGATAACATTATCTATCATCTGCAAAGACAGAAAGGTGCCGGCCGGTCATGGACAACAATAACATATGATGGCCTCAGGTGTATGTGCCATAAAAAACCTGTTTTAACTGTCTACAAGTTCAGACATGTCCCATTAAAAAACACTGTAAGCTCAGTTGACAAGTCTGTCCAAGATCTGTCAATAAGCTTAGTGTGAGTGTCCTAAACTAAAGCAGCACACACAGAAAAAGCCACTGTAGTAGTAGTGCAGCTTAATACTTAATAAAATATTATCTTTTGGAGACAGAGCATCTATGAAGTGCAGACTAAAAGTATGCTCGCTGTGCTCTACAATGTGGATTATCCCTTAATAAATCAGTTGAAGTCATGAAGTGAATTGAGTGTTTGTAATAATAATTATTATTACTAACACTCAGTTCACTATAGTAATATTAATTAAATAGAGAGCTAGGTCAGGTAAAAGTAATAAAGTAATAAAGTAAACTATAAAAATATATTACTACTTATTACAATAAAATAAGAAAACTACAGCCGAAATTGCGCTTGCTTATGGCCTTATGGTGATTAACAATTTGTAAGTTTTAAACACAGAAGATGTTAGCATGAATTCAGTGAAAACTTAGTTTATGCATTTTCTGATGGATAGTCAAACAATACTCAATACTGAATGACCGACTGACTGACAACCACTACACAGCGTGTTGTGTTGTTTGGTAGGCCCAGGCAGTTGTTTCGATTTTAACAACAAATGTTAATTATTTTGAAGACAAAAACTCTATCAACAGTTCCGAGTTTTATATTTCCACAGCTTACCTCATCCTCTGCCATTTGACGATTCTTGTTGACGATAACAGTAAAAGGAAGAAAAGTTTTTTAGTCTTGCGGTCAATACACAAACACAAACAGATCGACAGCCAGGCAGACGTTGTTTCCACAGCGCTACCGCTCCCCCCGGCTGAGAGTTAGACAAGCTACTCCACTATCCGCACCACTGCCGGACATGTTTCCACGTTTACGTCTATAATTACGTTCTCAATTGGTAATCTTAGTTTCAGCTTCATAGCAAACGAGTCACCCCATAGTTGCTCCGCTCCTGTGCCAACGAAAAACACACAGAATGTTTATCCCAGTCCTTTGTGGAAAGACTGACAGACTGTTGTCTCAGCAAATGCACTAGCATATACACGCATTAACTGTTTCCTTTTGGTTTATCTTATACAACGGATCAACATCATGGCAGAGCGTAGTAACACATAAGTGCTCCGTTCTGTTTCTAACTAGCCTGAGATCAAAGAATCTCAATGCAGTGCACAAACTCTGTAGCACTGGCAAGGATCCTGAAATACTTTGGGTAGATTTTTTACTCAAAATGTTGCCCGGGGCAGCGCAATTAATCTGCTCTTTACAATTTTCCACACACAAAAAATGTGTGTGTGTGTGTGCCAACAATACATGCGGGCATCCGATCTTACTAACCAGAGACCAGGGGAAATTACTAGATATCCCCGTGAAGAAAAAAAAATGCCAGTTATCACTGGGACCTGAACACGGGACCTCCAGCACGCAAGGCGGACACCATGCCACGAGACTGCTCAGCGCCCACATTGTTACCTTTACACGTCATTAGTCAGTGGTGCTAAAAGCTAGAAAAAACATTTAATTAAAAAGTCAAATTAAATTTTCACTTCTTTCATGTGTCTTACATTTCGAAATGTTAAAATTGTTTTCTTCTCCACTATTTCTTGTAGTAGTGTATATTTCTTACGTCCTTCTTAGGACGTAATTTTTTGTTATTTGAAGCCCCACTCTGGCTTTTGCCAGGGGCCGCAATATAGGCAGGCCATCAATATGGCCAATTGTCTGAACGCGGTTTCTGGGACCTCTCCACGGTGATCCTCATCCGCATGGTGGCACTTTGTGTCATCGGGTGTTTATCGCTTGTGTGATGTCCTGGTGGGGTAGAAAGTCAGTCAGTCAGACTATTTCTTGTACGGACTGATGCGTCGAGAGAGATATGAGGCTCTGGTGTTGCTCTTCAGGCCGACTCGAACAGAAACATACCGTGCTGTTGTCGAGTTCCTTTGGTTCTATCTTTCGCTCTTGTTGTTGGTCTATATCTGGCTCTAAATCACTTCCATTAAAATTTGCTATGAACAAATTCCATTCGACCGGTCGTGTATATATCATTAACACTGCACCCTATCAGGCATGTCGTAAGAGGCGACTAAGGGTAGGGTTGGGCTAGAGGTTGGCTACCTCATCCTTTAAAACCAATAGCCACGAAAACCAATCAACCATAGATAAGTCAAAAAGAGAAAAAAAAAAAAAAAAACCTAGCCAGCTAAGATTATGGTAGGCTCTTCGAAATGGTTTCGAGAAAGCCGAAAGGAGTCCAGATCGTCGACGTACCTCTTTACCTACGAAAACCACATGGAATGTTTGAACTTTGCACTTTGTAAGTAAGTAAGTAAGTCAATTGTTACCCCAGCAGGACATCATAAAGAGCGATAATCACCCGTTGACACAAAGTGCCACCATGCGGATGAGGATCACCCGTGGAGAGGACCTGGAAACCGCGTTCAAGCCGTCAGGTTATATTGCGGCCCCTAGCATCAGCCAGGGTGGGACTTCAAAATTACGAAAAAAAAATGCATCCCACAAGGGGGGACGACAAAGATTATGTTTGCACGATGTAGGAAGAACAAAGGAAGTAGTAAGGGAAATGAAACATTATAGGGTTAGTATTTTAGAATTATGTGAAAATAGCTGGACCGGGGCGGGGAAAAGTAGTTTAAATTCAGGGGAGATTATTTTGTTCAAGCCAGTCTATTGGCTTGACATCGACCTGGCTGCCACGAGATACGAAGATAAGAGAATAAGAGATTTTGTGTAGTATTGTCTAATCTATGTCTGTGCTAAAGAATTCTTCATATCCACAACGTTCACGTTTTGTTAGTGTTTGTTATGTTGTGAAGCTTGCTGATATACTTTATTTGTTCCGTTTTATTTATTTCTCTGATATTTTGTTCTTAGGGCACACAAAAGGAAAAATGTCCTCACCGTGAAGGCGTCGCCCTGATGCTAGCGAATGAAGCAGAAAGGACACTGATAGAATGGGGAGCTGTGTCCTAGAATAGTAAGAGCGTCATTTACAACAGCGAAAGACAGGTGAACATGTCAGCAATTCAGTGTTATGATCCAACAAATGATAAGGATGCATCAGTTAAAGAAAGAATTTTACATGCAGCTTTAAAATATTTTAAATAAAGAAAAGAAAAAAAAAACGTCCAATATAAAAATTGTGACGGTGGCCTGAATGCTAAGATAGGATCAGAAAACAAAGGTTATGAAAAGATGACAAAAAAGCTTGGACTGTAATGCTCTTTTTATCGATTTGGAATAATTCTAGACTTGTAAATTAAATTACACCACGCATTTGTGAATATATAATAGCAAGATTTAGGAAACAATGTTGGAGCGTTTCTACCTTCTCAGATGATAGTTTTACACTGTGCTACAGGGCAGCAGGAGAATCACATGCCGTGGCGATGGCGAGGATGATTAGAAAAACTTCGCTCGCGTTAGGAAATGGTTTCACAGTTAGTACCAGAGATTTCAGGACCATTGTTGCTATTGCTGCATTTGATTCGCCCTCTTTCCAAGACCTATTTCCTCACCTATCTGCAGTTAGTTTCTCCTTTATTTATATTCCCTTAATGACCACCCCCCCCCCCTTTTTTTTCCCTTTCAAGAAGCTGGTGGTGGACACGGCCCTTTGGCAGCAAGTGAACCATGCAGAGACACAAATCAGTCATGATGGTGTGGAGAGAATGGTAGGGCAGGGACTGACCACTGGATTTGGTCGAATGATGGTGTGGAGAGAATGGTAGGGCTGGGAGTGACCACTGGATTTGGTCGAATGATAGTGTGGAGAGAATGGTAGGGCTGGGAGTGACCACTGAATTTGGTCGAATGATGGTGTGGAGAGAATGGTAGGACTGGGAGTGACCACTGGATCTGCTCGAATGATGGTCTCACGAGAATGGTAGGGCAGGGAGTGACCACTGGATTTGGTCGAATGATGGTGTGGAGAGAATGGAAGGGCTGGGAGTGACCACTGGATCTGGTCGAATGATGGTCTAACGAGTATGGTAGGGCAGTGACTGACCACTGGATCTGGTCGAATGATGGTGTGGAGAGAATGGTAGGGCTGGGAGTGACCACTGGATCTTGTCGAATGATGGTCTCACGAGAATGGTAGGGCAGGGAGTGACCACTGGATTTGGTCGAATGATGGTCTGGAGAGAATGGTAGGGCTGGGAGTGACCACTGGATCTGGTCGAATGATGGTGTGGAGAGAATGGTAGGGCAGGGACTGACCACTGGATCTGGTCGAATGATGGTGTGGAGAGAATGGTAGGGCTAGAAGTGACCACTGGATCTGGTCGAATGATGGTGTGGAGAGAATGGTAGGACTGGGACTGACCACTGGATCTGGTCGACATGAGACACTCAAACTGTTACTGGTACCATTAGAACTGGAACGCTGGCTGCTGAAGATGAGGACGGAGGGCTTTTGGAAATGTGCTGAGTGCTTTCTTGTCAATGTTTAGCTGAACACTCAACACCCCCTCCATTTAAGATGTGTGACATTTTCTGTCCACAGATCTCAATACATGCATCGTTCATGTCCCGCTTGCACATATTTTTATATCGTAGAAGAGGCCGACCTTCTTGATGAGATGGGAGTCCTAGTTCTCTTGCTCACTAACGTGTTTCACCCGCAAAAGAAAAAGGGACAGATAAGTCAACTGTCTTTGTGATGTCATTGTCCATGCCCGAGAGTGATAGCCAGTTCAAACGATACTGCCCCATTGGGCATCGAAGCAGGCAACCTGTACAGTGGGTTATCAACTTGCACAGGAACACCCTGAGGAACACAGGAACACCCTGAGTGAAGTTATAACATCCCGGAAAACGATTTCAAATTGTCCAGAATTATTTGTCTGTATAGTCCAGGGAGAGTCTCATAATTTTCATTACCGTCGATATACAAAGTCCGACAATTAAATAATGAGACTAATTCCATTAAAATTTTAATAATCAACTGTTGAAGATATAACCTTTATCTGATTCAAGGGAAGCCCTTTGTGCATTGATACAGCAAGTGGCACGATTTAACAAAAACTGGAACGACTTCTGTAGTTCTTCTGTTGTTATAGTCCTTATAAGTCAATCTCATCAATGTTGTCATAAAAGCTCCCTTTCAATGTAACTTTAATTTTGGGAATAGAAAGTTATCACAGGTAGACAAATCTGGCAAATAGGGTGCACGGTTGACAACACACTTGTTTTAGGGCCAACAATT